GGAAACCAGAATCAAATACAGTGAAAACAGGGGTTTTGTGTCCCTATCTTGGGGTTCATTTCGCTTATCATCACCTTATATGGTCATATGTACATCGTTTTTGAGAGTGACCTCTTCTTATAAAAATTTCATCCTTACCCTTCCTGCAGTGTTGGGCCTTGCTCATCCTCCTGAAGATATCATCATTGCATTCTACAACTTATATCACCTGAATTTCAAGCTATTAAGGCTAAGGATACAGACTAAAATAAATACTAATTTCAATTGGAGAAGGATAGGTCTCTGAAGGAAAAATGTGGAGAAATAAATTCATGTCATGTTAGAACAAGCTTTAGAAGGTATTCTGAGTGGGACTTGGAAACTTAGGAGAATATGAGTAAGATTCTGGAGACAGGAGGGGGACCCTAGAATTGCAACCATAGAAGGGAATTTAGGATAAATAGGACTTTGGGTTACAAACTAAGTAAGTGTACAGGCCCTGAAAGCTGAAAGGACTTCATCATAGGTCTTTTGCATAGATCAAAAGGAGATTCTGAGGTTTGAGTATAAAATCCCTATGGAGCCGGGCGCTGGTGGCTCACACCTGTAATCCTAGCTACTCAGGAGGCTGAGATCTGAGGATCGCGGTTCAAAGCCAGCCCAAGCAGGAAAGTTCGTGAGACTCTTATCTCCAATAAAACGCTAGAAAACCGGAAGTGGTGCTGTGGCTCAAATGGTAGAGCTCTCGCCTTGAGCTGAAGAGCACAAGGACAGCACCTAAGCCCAGAGTTCAAGCCCCACAACCGACAAAAAAAAAATCCCTATGGAAGTTTGGGGGAAATGACCATCTGAGAACATAGCCTGCGTTTCAAAATTCCAGTACGTATTGACTTGTCCTGAACTTTATCACATAAGACAAAGTTACCATTACATATATCTGTATATAATAGCAATAACTACAAATTCAAGACTGAGAGATAAATACATACATAAGTATATATAAGTATATATATTCATATATATGTATACACATACATATATGTATGTATATATACACACATATGTTTGTCACACATATATATTGGTGCTGGTGCTGGTGCTGGTGCCAGAGTCTGAACTCAGAGCCTTGCTCTTTTGTTCAGTTTTTTGTCTCATAGCTGGTACTCTAACATAAGTCATCTTGCAATAAAAGAAAGACACATATTGTTATGTATTGTTCTTCTCCTGATGTACCTAGTTTAAGATCCCCACAGACATCCCCATCCCATCTATCCCAGCCTTCACACAGGGATTGGCTGTAATTGCCTGGTAGTAAGGTAGGTCCCTGACAACACTAGTTTGAATCTTTCCCTACAATTTGACCTAAAATTTTAAAAAGCAAGTCAGTCTCTAATGCTCTCCTGGGAAGACTAGTCAAGAACATGTATATTCAGAAGCTGCTGGGGACCAGGTTGCACCACATGGACTGAAGAGCTGAATATAAACACTTAACTCTAAGAAATAAAGAGTGCTCACAACATCAGGAGAACACAGGGAAATAGCTCTATCTGAGAGGGTTGCAACCTAACAGCCATGTGTATCTCCACATAACTGGCCAGGCAAAACTCAACCACATGTGTTCTATGATTTCTGCAAATGAATGGGGAGATAGGCTACCAAGTGAGCTACTGAGAAGTTGCATTTCCTATCTAGTGGAAGGCTGCTACATGACCTTATCTTATCTATCTCCTCAGTTTCAGTTGAACATAAGGCTTTCCACCTTTCCCCACATTTAGGTTATAGATACAAACTTCAGAATGTCTGTAAAAATGTTTTGCTGTGGTTTAAAGGTAGCATCTCAATAGCAGGGGGTGGCCACTAAAATTTTATCCTCTGGCCTCTTTAGGTTCATTGTTATCTGAGTTATTAGGATCACAGGAAACTTGATGCCACAATGACTTGGTTTTGCAGTCTGTGTAAGTATTTGGGCATAATTTACTCTTTATCAAGAAAATCTGTGGAAGTATAACAAGCCATCCTAATAGCCATAGAACACTCTTGCCTATAATTAGTCTTCTACCTTGCTGCCTTGCGGATTTTTGAAAACTTAACAAAAAAGTAAGAAACAGAGAGTTTACTTCCTGAGTTCTCAAATGTTCCAGCCTGATTTCAGTCTGTTCCAGGAATGCTCTTCCAGGAAAGCACTGAATTCCAAAAGAAACTATAGTATTTCTAAAATAAATCTCCCCAATGTTTTTTTTTTTCCCTTAAAAGAACATTATCTCAGAATGTATTTTTGACCTTTACAATCAGAAGATCATATAATACAAACACAGGAGATAGTATCAGTAATCAGAACTCTAGTTTCAAAGACTCAAATGCACCTTCTTTTTATTAAAATTCTACCACTCTTATATGTTTCTTTCTTTCTGGCTCTTAGTCTAATATATATAATAGGATTAGCCTACATCATTACAGCTGAAGTAAATATAGGTATATGTAAATGTTTTGGGCCAAATAAAATGTGATTCTTTTTAATTATGATGGAAGTATAAATTACTTTCATTAGGAAGTGGCTCTGTGGCTCAAGCGGTAGAGCGCTCGCCTTAAGCTTAAGAGCGCAACGACAGAGCCCAAGCCCAGAGTTCAAGCCCCATGACCGACAAAAAAAAAAAATACTCTCATTATTTTCCAATAATTCCATAGTAGAAACTATATGTATCGACTATAGATGGAACCACACATTATATTTATATAAAATAATCAAACAAAACAATATAAGGATTTGACATCTTTTAACATCTTTTGAGTGTAGCTGTGCCCTACTACATAATAATTTAAACCAATATGCAGACACTTATGTATCAATGGCCATAGCTTAGGATGTTAATCAATTAGCTTTGTTTTCTTTTGCAGCCAGTTAAACTTTCTTTGTTCAGGGTTATAGTCTGGGAATCAAGTGAGTCAAGTATTGCTAGGAAAGCCTTGGACATTGTGGACTTTCACCAAAAATTGTGAATAAATTGATGCAGGTTGATTATCACTACTAGAAAACAAGTAAGAAAACAGCAGGGCCATTGACATCATAATAGAAGAACATTGAATAATTATGGTTAAAACTGAAAGTCCCAATTTTATATTAATGAAACATCATCCATAGGAAAGTGCACAAAGGGGCTGGGAATGTGGCTTAGTGGTAGAGTGCTTGCCTAGTATGCATGAAGCCCTGGGTTTAGTTCCTCAGTACCACATACACAGAAAAAGCTGCAAGTGGAGCTGTGGCTCAAATGGTAGAGCGCTAGCCTTGAGAAAAAAAGATCTCAGGGACAGTGCCCAGGCCCTGAGTTCAAGTCTCAGGATTGGCAAAAAAAAAAAAAAAGAAAAGAAAAAAAAGAAAGAGAAGTTCACAGAGTGATACATGTGGTGCTTGTGGTTCCCCTGAGATGCACGTAGTTCATAATAAGTAGTCTTAATATGACTATTATCAAAAAATTCAAATCTCTCTTTTTTGGGGGGAAGGGAGTCAGTCGTGGGGCTTGAACTCTGGGCTTGGGCGCTGTCCCTGCATTCTTCAGCTCAAGGTGAGCACTCTACAACTTGAGTCACAGGGCCACTTCCGGTTTTTTGGTGGTTTAAAAGTCTCATGGACTTTCCTGCCCGGGCTGGCTTTGAACCGTGATCCTCAGATCTCAGCCTCCTTAGTAGCTAGGATTACAGGTATAAGCCACTGGTGCTCAACTCAAATCTCTTTGAAAATTAAATTTACTAGCTAAACAGACATCTTCCAATCATTATCTTATATAATTTATTAGTGTTACAATAAGTTGTGGAAAGAATACCTACATTTATAAAACTTTTATGATTAGATGCCAATTAGTAGTGATATATTTATAATAAAATGTATCAGAAAATATAAGATTAAAATTTCAACCAGCATTTTAAAATATTTTTAAAATTTGTGAACAAAGCATAATTCAATGATTAGTAACTTTCTTTTTTTTTTTTTGGGGGGGGGGGGTCCGGTGGTGGGGCCTGAACTCTGGGCTTGGGCACTGTCCCTCAGCTCTTCAGCTCAAGGCTAGCGCTCTACCACTTGAGCCACAGCGCCACTTCCGGCTTTTTTCTTTTTGCTTATGTGGTGCTGAGGAATCGAACTCAGGGCCTCAGGCATGCAAGGCAAGCGCTCTACCACTGAGCCACCTTCCCAGCCCCTGATTATTAACTTTCTACAGCCACATTTAATAGTTATTAGTTTCAAGATTGGTTATAGTAGATCTTTTTCTAAATGTTTTGTTCCCCACAGTATACATCTCTAATTTAATGTGAACCCATTATATCAAAAGTGTTTCTATGTGTTAAGATACATATAAATGTTACTATGTCTGTTTATGGCACAATATAATCCCGAGACACACAACATGCATTCAGAAGACTTCCAGAATTCTACAATAATACTTAGTCGAGGAAGGCAGGATCCTTGTAAGATCCATGATAACTTGGAAGAAAAAAAAATCTACAAAATTAACAACGGGGGCGGGGACGGGGGGGGGGGGGGAGGATGGGAAAGGTTGGGAAGGGGAAACAAAGGAGGAGGCTACAATGCTTGCTAAGAAATGTACTCATTATCTTGCCCATGTAATTGTAACTCCTCTGTACAGTATTTTCACAATGAAAAAAATTAACAACAAACTTAAGTCAGGCAGGATTGAATCATTTCAAGTAAAATAGTCAGCAAGTAAAAAGATTCCTCAAAAATTGCAGGCCCTGGTTGCTGCCTCTTAGTTTTTAGCCTAGGAACACAGAAGACCAGGAACCCTGGAGCAACTGGCACAGGCGCTGGGGCAACTTTACCTGGGACACCGGGCCTCAGCGGCCAGCTCAGGTCTCCTTTGCTTTAAGCTACCCCAGGTTGGAGACTGCCCCGGCTTTGTGGAATTTTGAGAAAGCAGGCAAAACTTCGGTTGGGAGACTTGTCTGAGAAACGTTTCGGGGCACGAGATGGGGAAAGCGACTAGCTTGCGGTAGAGTGGGGGCGGCCTTACCAGCAGAACCACCGGCCAAGATCTGCTGAGAAATCTCGCGCAGTAAGCCGACGTTGGATTTGGTGGGCTTGGTGGACATGGTGGGCAGCCGCACGACGGGGTAGCGAGTGCTGAGCCGAGTGAGCGGGGTCTCCGCTGAACGCAGGCCTGAAGCCTCTCCAGGTGAAGGGAGCCGGGGGAGCTCCCAGCGGGGCAGCAATCCCGCGAGTACCCAGAGAAGGCGGTTCGGGCACTGGCTCGCGGCGGGATCACCGGAACCTGGAGGCTGCACTGCTTCGGGGTGGTCTCTCGCCGAGCCTAGACACCCTGGGCTCCAAGGTTTCTGAAGAGATTAGTGGACTGGGTGGAGTTGGCCGACCCTGTAGGCCAGGCTGGGTTTCCTAGATTGGCATCCTATCAAGAGTTTGTCTGGAGGGAGGCCCTGCCTGGAAAATGCAGAGAAGAAGCGCAGTGTGAAACCCAGCGGGGGAAGCCTGGGGTAACCCTTGCCCTCTGGCAAGCCCGGAGCTGACCTAGAATAGCAACTAACTCAAAGCAGGCCCACTTCCTAAGGACCTTACGGTTGAGCTAATGGAATACTTTAGCAAAAAGAGCGATTTGAATTTAAGGAAAATTATCTCATACCTCAACTCGTTTTATTAACTGAAAAACTGGGGAGAGTAGGAAAAGAAGAAGAAGAAAGAAAGTGCCTGGTGACAAATAAGCCCCAGGACAGAAGGTACTCAGTTTAATTTATGAGTGTTAGAAAATCAAATCCATGGACCTCATCTCAAGACTACTAAATCAGAATATTTAGGTTGGCCTTATGGACCTGTGTTTTAACCAGTTCTCTACTGATTGTTGTTAACATTAAGGTTGTGATCTCCACCTAAGTAACAGAGAAACATAAACAACCTTTTAGTATATTCTCTCTATAAAATGTTTAATTACTCATATTAGCCCCTTTAATTAACAAAAATTGTAATTTATACCTGTTTTTAAATCTAAAATAAAGCTGGTCAGCAGCGGCTCATGCCTATAATACTAGCTACCCAGGAGGCTGATATCTGAGGATCACAGTTCAAAGCCGGCTAGGGCAGGAAAGTTCCTGATAACTCTTATTTCCAATGCACTACTCAGAAAAAGCTGGAAGTGGCACTATGGATCAGGTCGGAAAGTGTTACCCTTGGGCACAAAGAGGCTTAGGAACATCGACCAAGGCCAGCAAAAAAAAACAAAACTAAAATAATTATATGACCCCCACAAAATTAATGTTTATAAATTATAGAATTTTAATGTTAAAAAATGATTATAAGGCACATACTTAACCAAATCCTACATTTATTCACTGAGAGCTTACTAAAGTGTTAGCAGTATTAACAATAAGCATCCTTTTCTTGTGGATCATATAATTTAATGAAAAAGATCCTATATCTTGCAGATATAGGATAGAATATTTATCTTTCCTAAATTACTTCAGGATAAGCAATAATACTATGAAGTCAAGATTTAAAGGTAACTTATTAATATTATTTCTTTTTTTTTTTTCCTTTTTGTGGGTTGTGGGGCTTGAACTCTGGGCCTGGGCACTGTCCCTAAGCTCTTCAGCTCAAGGCAAGCGCTCTACCTCTGGAGCCACAGCACCACTTCTCATTTTCTGAGCAGTTTATTTTTGGAGATAAGGCTTTGAACATAGATCCTCGGATCTCTGCCTCCTGAGTAGCTAGGATTACAGGCATGAGCCACTGGCGCCCCACACTAATATTATTTCTATGAATTCTTTAACCTCTGACAATCTTACCCTGAAAGATGAGTTCGTGTTGTGCTCTTACCCAAAACAAACAAAAAAGACAGTATGTTTCCTCTTTTGGTTCTCCCTGGATTATGACAAATTTCTTTGTGTAAAAACAAAGGCAGGGGCTGGGAAGGTGGCTCAGTGGTAGAGTGCTTGCCTTGCATGCCTGAGGCCCTGGGTTCAATTCCTCAGCACCACATAAGCAAAAAGAAAAAAGCCAGGAGTGGCGCTGTGGCTCAAGTGGTACAGCGCTAGCCTTGAGCTGAAGAGCTGAGGGACAGTGCCCAGGCCCAGAGTTCAGGCCACATGACCAGACCCCCCCCCCAAAAAAAAAAAAAAAAAAACAAGAGCGGGCTGGGAAGGTGGCTCAGTGGTAGAGTGCTTGCCTTGCATGCATGAGGCCCTGGGTTCGATTCCTCAGCACCACATAAGCAAAAAGAAAAAAGCCAGAAGTGGCACTGTGTCTCAAGCGGTAGAGCGCTAGTCTTGAGCTGAAGAGCTGAGGAACAGCGCCCAGGCCCAGAGTTCAGGCCCCACGACCGGACCCACCCCTCCTCAAAAAAAAAAAAAAAGCAAGGGCAAGTGATAGAGTGCTAGCCTAGAAAAAAAGGAGCCCAGGGACAAAACCAGGACCAGACTTCAAGCCCCAGTACTGGCAAAAGAAGCTCAGGAACAGTGCCCAGGCCTAGAGTTCAAACCCCAGGACTGGCAAAAAATATATAAATAAATAATAAAAATAAAAAATTACAACAAACAAACACTTTAAAAGAAAAGGCCTCAGTGACTCATGCCTGTCATCCCTAACTACTCAACATGAAACATGAGGCTTATGGTTCAAAACCAGCCTAAGCAAACAAATCCAAGAAGTTTCTTTTTGTTGTTGTTGTTTTTGGGTCCGGTTGTGGGGCCTGAACTCTGGGCCTGGGCGCTGTCCCTCAGCTCTTCAGCTCAAGGCTAGCGCTCTACCACTTGAGCCACAGACCACTTCCAGCTTTTTTCTTTATGTGGTGCTGGGGAATCGAACCCAGGGCCTCAGGCATGCAAGGCAAGCACTCTACCACTGAGCCACCTTCCCAGCCCACCTAGCTGTCTTTCCTGGTCGTTCAGTGTGCAGCTCCAATGTAGTTTGGAATGTCCTTGGCTCACCTGCGGGCCCTCACTCCCTCCCCTGCCCGGTGACAGGCCTCTCCCGGGCTAGCGCTCTACCACATGAGCCACAGCGCCACTTCCAGCTTTTTTCTTTTTGCTTATGTGGTGCTGAGGGATCGAACCCAGGGCCTCAGGCATGCAAGGCAAGTGCTCTACCACTGAGCCATCTTCCCAGCCCATAAATCCAAGAAGTTTCTATGTCTAATTAACCAACAAAAAGCTGAATGTGGAGATGTGGCTCAAATGGTAAGAAGCCAGGCAATATCATGAGGTTCGGTGTTCAAGCTCAACAGTACCAACACACACACACACACACACACACACACACACACACAGAGTCTATGATTGGGTCTTTAGTGAAACAAGACATGGCAGGAAGTGAGTAGCAGAACAAAGCCATTCATCTCAAGACTGAAATTCACCTCAATGAAGCAAAAGAGAGAGTGGAAACATTGTTCCACAACTTACTCCTGAGGCCCCAGGACAAGCTCTTAATAATTTAATGACTTTCTAGTTGACTTATACCTTAAAGATTCTACAACCTTGTATATCACTCATCTGGAGACTTACATCAGTGAAGAATTGGGGAATTTTTTGTATTTGGGGTGGGGGGGTTGTTTGTTTTTTGTTGGTCATCAGGCTTGAACTCTACTTGGGTACTGTCCCTGTGCTCTTCAGCTCAAGGTGAGTACCACTTGAGCCATTGTTCCACTTCCAGTTTTCTTGTGGTTTACTAGAGATAAGAGTCTCATGGACTTTCCTGCCTGGGCTGGTTTTGAACCATGATCCTCAGATCTCAGCCTCCCAAGTAGCTAGAATTACAGGTATGAGCCACCAGTACCTGGCTTGTTTGTTTTTTGCAAGGGCCTATGATGTTAGCTGGTATTAATGTTATGTCTCTATGAAGAAAGTTGCTGAATTTATTGAATTACGAGTCCTGCCTGTGATTGCCTTGGCAGGTCTAGACCAAATGATTCCCTGAGTCTTATGCAGCCCATAGGTCATGTTCACCCCATACCTTTGGACAATATTCCAATTCCAGCTGGGCGCCAGTGGCTCATGCCTATAATATCCTAGCTTCTCAGGAGGCTGAGATCTGAGGATCGTGGTTCAAAGCCAGCCCAGCAGGAAAGTCTATGAGACTCTTATCTCCAATAAACCACTTGAAAACCGGAAGTGGCGTTGTGGCTCAAGCAGTAGAGTACTGGCCTTGAGCTGAAGAGCACAGGGACAGCACCCAAGCCCAGAGTTCAGGCCCCACAACCGACCAAAAAAACAAAAAAACAAAACAAAACAAAAAATCCAATTCCAAACTAGCAGAAAATGAGGAAACTACCTGTTCCCTTTCTCCATCCCTCCTTTCCCTCACTCTCATTTCTCTTTTTATTTGAGGCAACTATTCAACACTAGAAACAATACATAGAGGTCATTCAAGTGAGAGAGTTCTGTTATTTGGGACATAAATGGGAATCTAGGAATTAGGAAGTCATCTAGGCAGTCAACATGCAGAAATCTATGTGGATCCCTAGGCCTTCTCTTAGAACTGAACTATGTCTAGTCTTAACTTGTTTAAAGAGTGGAAACTAATTTCTCAGTTCACATTAGATTAGAAACAACATAACAAGAAATAAGGTTATACCTATATACAATGGAATTTTTTACAGCCATTAGAAAGAATAACATATCATTTGCAGGGAAATGAATGGACCTAGAACAAATCATGTTAAGGGAGGTAAGCCAAGCTTAGACAAAAGGTGCATGTTTCCTTTCATATGCAAAAGTCAGATCTAAAACACACTGGGATATGATAAACTATATAGGATTCTAGACCCTCACGTACAGTGAGACCAAAAGAGGGTACTCTTAAGGGAGAAACACAAAGATGTGATGTTTATGTGCTTCTTTATGTTTATAAAAATTACACACACACATATATATCAAAACAAATTCCAAGATATGAAACAAGAGGTCTCTTCTTTCTGCATGAAATCATGTCTTTGTCTATCACATGTCTTTGTCTCTATCTTTGGGAGCATAGAGGAATACAGAACTCATGGGATGGGATGGGAAGGTGGCTCAGTGGCAGAATCCTTGCCTTGCATGCATGAGGCCCTGGGTTCAATTCCTCAGCACCACATAAGCAGAAAAAGCCAGAAGTGGTGCTATGGCTCAAGTGGTAGAGTGCTCGCTTTGAGCTGAAGAGCTGAAGGACAGCGCCCAGGCCAAGTTCAGGCCCCATGACCAACCAAAAAAAATAAAATAACTCATGGGATGAAGAGTGAAAAAGTGCAGTGGAGCTTATTGGACACTTTGTTGAAAGTGAACTATTCAGTTCTTGGGTGGAGACAGGAGAAAGGGACTGGAAGAGAACAAGGGAAGAGATGATACTGTACAAAAGGAAATGTAATCTTGTGTGTAGAATTGTGCCACCTCTGGGCAATGGAGGAAAAGGAAGCCTGCAGGCTTGAGTATGTTCAGAATTACACTTTGATTAGAGCCATTGATGTATATGGTTCTAGTTGTTCCATAGAGTGACATACATTTAGTAGAAACATACTTTCTTGCTAATATTTTAGTAGTATACTATAAACCTAATAATGAACTTAGGAATTACTTAGTATATCTTACTTTATATCTCATTATAAATTGAGCATAAAGGACAGATTTTAATTGTAACTTTGCCAGTATTTCTGTCTAGAAGCATGTTTCTGGTTTTTTTTTTTTTTTTTTTTTGTCGGTCGTGGGGCTTGAACTCTGGGCCTGGGCGCTGTCCCTCAGCTCTTCAGCTCAAGGCGAGCGCTCTACCACTTGAGCTACAGCGCCACTTCCGGTTTTCTGGTGGTTTATTGGAGATAGGAGTCTCACGGTCTCTCCTGCCCGGGCTGGCTTTGAACCGTGATCCTCAGATCTCAGCCTCCTGAGTAGCTAGGATTACAGGCGTGAGCCACCAGCGCCCGCGCATGTTTCTGTTTTTGTCTTCAGGTAAATTTTTATCCCGAAGAAAAGCAGGATTGCAATCCCTTCCCCCAGGGAAATATTCATTATCTGACTTATGTAACTGTAATCCTTCTGTATATCACCTTTATAATAACAATAAGGGCAGGGAATGTGGATTAGTGGTAGAGTGCTTGCCTAGCATGCATGAAGCCCTGGATTCAATTCCTCAGTACCACCTAAACAGAAAAAGCAGGAAGTGGTGCTGTGGTTCAAGTGGTAGAGTGCTAGCCTTAAGCAAAAAGGAGCTCAGGGACAGTGCCCAGACCCAGAGTTCAAACCCCAGGACTGGCAATAAATAAATAAATAAGCCCAATGCTACTGAACAACAACAAAAAAAGTTATTTGGAAAGTGGAGGGAGTGTGCTAGTAAAGAGCACTCTGCAACCTTTAGTCTTTATTCAGCCTACCCAGCAAACTGTCATATATTCTGCGGATATGTACCTTTGTCAGGCATTGAGCTAAACATATTTGTAACCAGTTGAATCACTCATAATATCCCCATTCTCAGGAGGGAAATCGGCAAAGAGTTTTAAGCAACTTCCGTGAAGACATACTATTTGGATTGTTAATTGAATATACATATGTATAACTTAGGAAAGCTCTTTCTGAGTCACTGGCTATGTGACTTTATTTTGTTTTTGTTTGGCTTAGTTTTGAAATATAGTTTTGCTAAGTAGTATCTCAGGTTGTCCTCAAACTTCAAATCCTCCTACCACAGCCTCCCCAGTGCCACCAAAATGGTACCCCCATGCCCAGA